AAAACTTAAAAAAAAAAAAAAAAACTAAATAAATAAGAGGTAGTGGTTGTACATATTTGTGAATGTATGAAACACATATAATTGTTTACTTTTAAAAATTTCACGTTATATCATGCAAATTTTATCTTTTAAAAATCTAAGAAGTTATGACAATGCTGATTTCATGAACAATTTGATAGCCTTCTGTGGACAAAGTAACCTTAAAGGAATTATCTTCATCAGTATTCTTTCTCTAGGTTATAGGATTAATTGCATAATAGACTCTCTAGTAATCATTTCCCCATAAAATAATTTGCCAAGGTAATCTACCTTTTAAAATAGAGTTTTAAAATCATTACCCTTTAAAAAGAAACATACCATTACATGTGTCTGGGAGCCCTTGGAAGAGGGTGGTTGGGGGAGGACTGCTTCATGATTTGATTCTGTCTTTCTGGAAACCATTGTGGCAACAGGCTTGGATTTGGAGTCACCGTGTTTAATGTTAGCTTTGGAGGTTTTTCTTTATGATGTGGAAAAGAATAAAAGATCATCACTACAGTGAAGAGTAAGGAGCTTAATGCATATATGAAAATGCATGTATATATTACACTTCCCTAAAAAACTGCAACATTTATAGAGAATGGTCTTAAAAATTTGGCAAGTATTTTGTGAAACATCTGATCAGTACTCTTCAAAGCAATCAAAGTCATTAAAAACGGTAAAAAACAAACAAAAAAAACCCTATCAGACTCAAAGAGACCAAGGAGACATGAGCTAATAAAACTTGAACTGAATCCTAGTTACAGAGAAAACTGCCAAAAACTAAATGAAGCCCAGAGTTCAGTCAAGGTTGGTTCCTTAGTTTGGAAAAATGTATCATAGTAATACAAGATACTAAGGATGGGGTACACAGATACTCTCTGTACTATCTTGGCAACTTTCCTGTAAATACAAAATTATTCCAACTTTTCTGTAAATACCAAATTATTCCAAATAAAAATACTGGGGCCGGGGAGATGGCTCAGTGGAATTAGTGCTTCCCTGGCAAGCGCAAGGGCCTGAGTTCAATCCTCGGTTCTGCCAAAAAAAAAAAAAAAAAAAAAGAAAAGATAAAAATGCTATGAGAAAGTGCCTCACATACAGAAGTACCAGGATAAATTTGGTTGGAAATTACAGCCAACATGAACAAAGAGATGATCTTCCTTCCCTGGGCCTCTCTAGCATTGACTTCTCTCCTTGCACATCTAACTCCCCACAAGGAAGGCAGAGAAGACAGAGATGGAGACAGTCTCCACTAGCCCTCTGTCTCAGCTCCTAAACACATGGTTAGGGAATGTAGAACCTGAACATCAATGAAAGCAATTCTTTTCTCAAAAAACTGTATGAATCAAGAGAGAACCCTACAGATGTTCTTAGAAATTTGAATACTATTTTATATGTGATTATTTTTATACATAGTAAATAATGTAATAGAAGTTCACCGAACAGTTCTCTAGATTTCTCATTTTAGCAATTCAGCAAATTTCAGCATGTATCTGAAAAGTGCCAGGACAGGCCACCCTAGAATATGCTGCCCTGGTATAAAGATTAAAAAACAGCAGGTCTAAGGAGTATGCTCTAGCCCTCTTTTGTTTCCCTGAAACCAAGAGATAAAACCCTAAATGGAAGATGTTCTCCCTTTATCAGAAGGAAAGTAATAATCTTGTGATGAAGAATGAAAAGTTGAGAGAGAAAATTCTGTACAAATGGACTGTGTTAAAAATAATTCCGATGGGGGCCAGGGAAATGGGTCAGTGGAATAAGTGTTTCCCTGGCAAGCGCAAGGGCCTGAGTTCAATCCCCGGTTCTGCCAAAAAAAAAAAAAAAAAAAAAAAATTTATGTTCTTGAGCCTCTCCACATAGTGACTTTCGCATTTCACATTTGCCTTCCTTGTCCAATCTAGTATAAAAGCTATAGGTTTCACTCCTTTGAGTCTTCGTCCCCTTAGGAGGGCCCTTGGGTCATGCAGAACTTATTAGACAAATCTATATGCTATTATCCTCTTAATTTACCTTATGACAACTTAATTCTCAAGGCCAGGTTTAAAAAAGCCCCAAAGCCCTTGGCCACTGCTGCTGCTTCCATCTGCCGCTCCTGGAGCTGCCTGTGTGCTCCTGTGGTGCTGACCTGGTACCTTCAGTGACGCAGCTAAGAAGACTCGGGTGTTTGCTATGGCCAACAAAAAGCCCAAGGAAGGAGCCAAAACTGAGAACAATCATATTAATTTGAAGGCGGCGGGGCAGAATGGTTCTGTGGCGCAGCCTAAGATTGAGAAGCGTACACCACTTAGTCAACTAATGAAAGCCTACTGTGAACGGCAGCGTTGGTCAATGAGGCAGATCAGATTCTAATTTGATGGACAGCCCATCAGGGAAACCGACACACCTGCACAGGTGGCAATGGAGGGCGAAGACACAACTGAAGCGCGCCAGCAGCAGCCAGGACGGGCCACTAAGAAGGGAACCTGAAATAACGCTACTGCAGAGCTCTGCTCTTACAGATCAAGAATACATTCTCAATTAGAAAACTATAATTTGGTTCGACCACACACTGACTACTGCAGTATAATTTTCTCTATTTTTCTTTTATACTTCTCCATTTCTTAACTGTACATAAAGTATTTGGTGTATGTACATAAGCATTTTTTTTTTTTTTTTACTAAATGGCCAATAATGTTTCAATTGACATCAAATGGAGATTAGATGGGGAATTACTGGTTCTGTGAAAATAATCTCCTTTCTTCATCAGTGGCATGCTCATCAGCTCTTATCTGTATTCCAGTAAGTTATTATTTTGCTCTGTCTTGGGTTTTTTTGTTTTTGTTTTTCAGTACCAAGGATCAAACTCAGGACCTTGTGCTTGCCAGGCAGGTGCTTATGCCACTGAGCTATATCCCCAGTCCTGCTCTGTTTTAACAGAAAAGACAGTAACATAAAAATCCTTGCATAACTTGTTTGGAGAATTTTAATGTTTTCTACTTGTCATTGTCAAACCAAGGACAATTTTACAACTTTTTTTGCACATAGTTGTTACATGTAACACAGTTTTATTTTCTTTTCAGTTTTTTGTTTTTGTTTTTGTATTTTAGGGAAGGGTCTTCAGGGTGTTCAGGGTCTCACTACTAGATCGGACTCGTAGTGATCTGCCTGTTTACAGCCTCCCAAGAGCTGGGATTGCAGGCACGGGCCCCCACACCCAGTCTCAACTGCCATCTCAGTGCGCCCCTGGGGCGGGGCCAGCATGGCAGGCCCGGGGATCAAACTCCCAGCCCCTGCACCTGTTTGCAGGCGCTTTAATCTGCTGAGCTATTTGGCTGGCCCTTGTAGGACAGTCTTTAACTAGGAGGAAATTTATTTATTTATTTATTTATTTATTTATTTATTTATTTATTGCAGTATAGGGGATTGAACTCAGGACCCTGCACTTGCCAGGCAGGTGCTTATTCTACTGAGCTATCTCCGGAGCCCACGAAATTACTCTTTAAAAAGGAAAAATCCTAAATAGCTTTCCCATTAAGTGTCTTGTTATTTAAATAAACTTCTTGCTTAAAACGAAAAAATAAAGAAGCCAAAGAGAGTAGAATTTTCCCTCCTCTATATATTCTTATCAATTTACTTTGTGTTTTTAAAAAAACTCACCATAAATTCTTGCACATGAAAATGACAGAAGCCACCCTCTTTTCCAACATCTATTTAGCCCAGCTATTTTCAAGGAAGTATCTTACGCCTTTGTGGCCTCCAAAAACAAGGAAATTTGGTGTTTTATATAAGGCTGCCTCAAGATGCTCCTCACGGATGGTCTTTCTTCAGGCCTCTTGCTCAGCATTGTCCTGATCAGTTCTGCCAGCTCTGGGCTATAAGCCTTTGGCATTGGAGGCAGCTACGAAGAAAAATAACCCTGCAGTTATGACCAGTGATCTTATGAAACAAAGTGAAAGATGATTTCCTGATGTTTATTAAAAGTCACATATACAAAGAAGTAGAAAATAATCACCATATTAATCTATAGAAAATACACAGTGTTCTGGTTGAAATAACATTTAAGATTGTAAAGCTATTTCTTTCAACCCAGCAGGCTTATCAGGGGACTGACTCATTCCTTCAGAAATACTAGGCTGCATTTCTAAAGATTTACATACCAGAATGTTCGATGCAGTATCGTTCTTACAGTAGTCAAAAACTGGCAACAACTTAAATGTCTATTCATTTGCATTAAATTATGGTAATTTATTCCAGGCGATAATTATGGCACATCCTTTGTGTGTGTGCACATGTGTGTGTTACTGAGGATGGAAGCAGGGAGCACTGAGTTACATCATCCCCGCCCCTCCTCTAATTTTATTCTGAGACAGTTTCCCTAAACTACTAAGCTACTCCAACTGGTCTCAAACTTGCCATCCTTCTGCCTTAGCATGGCAGGATTAAAGCTGAGGTACGTTCTTCTTAAAGAACACTAAGCCGCTGCTTAAAAAATAAAAGATAAGTGCCAAGGAAAGCTGTCCCTCATATAGAAAATCAAAAAAGTTATGTACTGCTATGTACAGCCTAACTCTATTTCAGTTTCTTTTTTAATTTATTTATTTATTTATTTATGTGTGTGTGTGTGGCCAGCTCAGCCCACCAGGGGGTGGGGCTGGCATGTGGTGCTGGGGGATTGAACCGCGGTCCCTGTGCTTTGCTAAGCTTGTTCTAAGTAGGTGCTTTAGACCACTGAGCCATCTCACCAGCCCTCAGTTTCTTTTTTAAAAAAAGTGTCTCTGTGTACATGCACGTATATCCACCCCAGATATGTCTCTTTATAGGCAGGTAACATCTAGGAGCCTCACAATAAATTGCCACCAATGGCTAGCTTGAAGGGATGAAATAGAGATGGAAGTTCCGCTTCCTTCATATGCAATTCTTTAAGTAGTACAACTATGGGCAAATTTTTCTTGTTCATACACACACAAATAAACAAAAACCCTCAGGGTGCAGGGATGCCTGAGACTGCAAAAGGGCAGCTGGTCTCACAGAAATAAGACATAGCTGGTCACTCCAGCATCCATATTATTCACAATGCCTTCTGCAGTTTCCTATGCCCCACCCCTCTCCCAGGGATTGAACCCAGGGACTTCACATGAACCTACATCCCCCACCCCTTTTTATTTTTTGAGACAGAATTTCACTAATGTTCCCAGGCTGGGCTTGAACTTGCAACCCTTCTGCTTCGGCATCCCAGAGTGCTGGGATTTACAGGTACAGGAAACCACTCATGGGTTACAGTTCTTAATCACTTCCTAGTGATTGTGATAATTATTGAAGAAAAAAGTTTAAACAGAGTAGACTCGTCATCAGGTGTAGCTCATGCATCCAGCAGCTGCTCAGGAAAAGATACTCATACCACCTCACAGCACTTGTGCCTCCTGTAGCCACAGGAAGAAGTTTCCAAAATGCTCATTCTTTTGAGCCATTGAGCCATTTTTACAAGCTAACATTTAAAAAGGATGAATCGTTATCTCTTCAAATCCAACCTTTCTTGCAAAAGCAACTCATCACTTTTTTTTTTTTTTTTTTTTCTGAGACAGGGTCTGCTATGTAGTTTAGGCTGGCCTTGAACTCACTACATAGCCCATGGTTATCTTCCTGCCTCAGCCTCCCAAATGCTAGGATTATAGGCATGCACCACATGCCTGACATACAACCCACCAATCTCAACGATTCACCTCATATTAATGATTTCTCATCAACTAATCTAAATAATAAATGATTTTGTCCGTAGCTATTTGCAAAGATGTATTATATAAATCTTATGTGATTAGTTTCAGATAATTTTTACCTTTCCTTCAATTATCCGATACACTAAAGAATTCATGTCTTTTGCATTGAAGGCATGTTTCAGGGTGGCGATTTCATAGACACAGCATCCCAAAGCCCAAACATCAGACTAGGAAAGAAAAATAGCAAATGGTGAAATGTTGAAGTATCTTACTTACATTTCCCCCATTTAACCAAAAAATAAATACATAAAAACAAAAAGGCTACTTTCCCTTCACAGAGCCATAGATAATTGTGACTCAACTACCCTGAAAGGTTCCAAAATTCTGGGTACTCTCTCGGAGACACAGAAAGCCACCACGCGCAGCCCAATCCTACCTTATAGTTGTAGGGTTTGTTCGAGAACAGTTCGGGGCTCATGTAATAGGGCGTGCCAATGAGGGTGCTGGCCATGTCACAGTGGTTCTCTAGCACTCGGGCAATTCCTAGGTCACCCACTTTGATGATATTTGTTCTTGTTAGGAAGACATTTTGAGTTTTCAGATCTCGATGAAGGATATGTTTTTCATGTAAATACTGAGGAGAAATAAAATTTCATTGCATTTACACTGATTTACTCATTCCTAGCTTCTTTATATCATTAGTAACTGCATGAGTTAAAGAGCTTTAGTTACCTAACTACAGAACATTATTAGTTTAAAAACTCTATAAAGTAAAAGTTCTATATTAGGAGTGGTAGAGAAAGCTTGTAATCCCAGTATATGGAGGCTGAGGCAAGAGGACTGTGGTGAATTCAAGGCCAGCCTGAAAGACGAATCAAGAACCCATCTAAAAAGCAAAATGAATCAAAACAATAACATAAAAGGTCTCACAACTTTCAAAGCAAAAAACTTAAATTCTATATATTAATTGGCTCAATGTCTTCCAAAATTGTTTCCTGGTGACTTGGCAATTACATCATTTTAATATTACCTGGATCTAGTTTTAAAATATGCTTACAGGGCCAGGGAGATGGCTCAGTGGAATAAGCACTTGCCTGGCAAGCGCAAGGGCTTGAGTTCAATCCCTGGTTCCGCCAAAAAAAAAAAAAAAAATGCTTACAGGCTGGGGAGATAGCACAATGGAGTAAGTGTGCAAGGTCCTGAGTTCAATCCCTGGTACCATCAAAATAAATAAATAAATAAAATAAAATATGCTTACAAACTCTCACTGAAAGTAAGGACAAATATTTTTTTTGGTACCAGGGATTGAACTCAGGACCTTGCACTTGCCAAGCAGGACCTTATGCTGCTGAGCTATCTCCCTGGCCCCAGGACAATTTCAACATTAGGTGCACACTTCTGCACACTCCTTCACCATGAAATCCTGAGCATAATAACATTTTCAAATACAGTATAATAAGATCATGTTTTATTTATTTAGGTTTTGATTTTTTGAGAGTCTTGCTGTGTAGTCTAGGCTGACCTTGAACTTACGATGATCCTCCTGTCTCAGCCTCCTGAGTGCTGGGGTTACAGGTGTGCACCACACCCTGCACTTAAAATCATTTTTATTTAAAGAGTATCTCAGAATTTAAACAGCAAGGTCAACTGATTCTAGACAACTGCACCCAGTTACCAAATAGCACTTAGTACACATTCTTCCTCTGGGTATGTGCCCATCAAAACACTTCCATTTCCACCCACTCTGCCATGCAGCCCGATAAAATCCCAAATCCTCCCCATTTAGAACAGTAGCTAGGCCGGGGAGATGGCTCAGCGGAATAAGCGCCTGCCTGGTAAGCACAGGGACCTGAGTTCAATCCCCGGTTCTGCCAAAAAAAAAAAAAAAAAAAAAAAAATTCCAAATTTACCTTATAAAAAAAAAAAAAGGAAAAAAAAGAAAACAATGCAGAATGACTCAATTACTCAGTGCAACAAAGGGAACATTTGCAGTATAATTTGGAAGTGAACTGCATTTGGGTATTAGCTTTAGATGTGAAAGGGTTTTGGGGTGAGTGTGTGTGTGTGTTATATTGGGACAGGATTCTCAGTGATG